ATTTCACAGGTTGACAATTTAGAATTATCTATTGGATATAATTGTCTTCTTAACAATGCTTCACGAGGGCAGTGCCTAACATTTGAGAACTAAGGTTCAAGGTGGTGCATACCTCACATAAATCTGCCTATATTCTTAGTGTACTCTGTAATTAAAAAATATCTGGGTTTCCTATTTATTGTTGAGAAAACTAGGAAATTAAGAACTTGTCCATAGCTGTATAGCAATCACTTTACTTTATTGGCCTAATAGAAATTTACGGTATGGTCGGTCCCTATTGCATGTAAATTTTGCGTACCTGGGGTAGGGTAGGTCAACTGGTATTGAAACCCGCACATTTTTCTGTTTGGCTTTCTCGGTAACAAGTACTATAGTATAACCGTGTTAACCCACGGTTAACCGTGGTTAACCAGACCCAGTACTAAAATGCGGTGCCCGCCCACAAATAAAACTTTCGGCGTTTCCGCCTACATGCACAAGTAAAGTTATATTTAGCACGCTATACATTCTCCTGTCGGCCGCCAGTTGGTCCGTACGTTAGGATCAAAACTGCGTTTTAAAGCCTTCAAAATAAAATATTTTGGGCTCAAAATACTATCAAAATGAGGAGAAAAGTGAGACGAATCCACTGGCATACGGCCGAAAACGAGAAAACCAACAATTCCGAAGTTATCAAGGATCAAATGGACTGCATTTTTAATTAGTGTAATAATTTTGAGCGATTTGTAAACAATACAATTTTGCTTATTAAAACTGCACATTAAAACCTTCAAAATATAATATTTTGGGCTCAAACTACAAACAAAATAAAGAGAAAAGTGAGACAAATCGACTGGTATACGGACGAAAAAGAGAAAACCAACAATACGAAAGTTATCAAGGTCAAATGCATTGCATTTTTAATTAGTTTAATAATTTTGAGCGATTTGTGAACAATACAATTTCGCTTGTCTTTCAAAGGCCATAAATCGCTAGAATACTGTTGTTTAGTAATACATTTGACATCTGTGAGTATAATTTCTTACACTGAATCGAACGGTGGTATTTTTGTCCTTATTGGGCGCATAAAACCAGAGATAAGACGCAGCAAAAAGTCAATCGTCAGAGTTTGAGTTGTAATTCGAAAGAAAACTTTCCTCGAAAAAAGGAATTCGGAAAACGTGAAGGATTATTTTGAGCGGCTTTTGTCTTTCAAAGGCGACAAATAGCTAGAATAGAAGTCAATTTTGAAATCAATTTTCCATCCGTAAACATAACTTTTCACGCTGATTCGAACAGTGGTATTTTTGTCCTTGTTTGACGCATAAAACCAGAGATAAAGCTGAGCAAACAGCCGATCATCATGAGCGTACATGATTAATGATAATTAATAAATTCCGAGCACGTGCAAGGAATTTTTGGTAGGCGATTAAGGAAACGTATTGATGCGAACAAACTAACAAACGGACAAACTAACAACTGAAACAAACAAACTCACAGGCAAAATATAATGCGGTGCCAAAAATGGCACGGGCACCGCAATAATATACATGAAAATGTTACTCGACTATGGTTGGTTGATTTCAGTGCAGTTAATTCAAAACAGAAGTGCGCAATTTGTAATCACTGCAATTTTTTGTAATGGCAGTGCAATTTTCTGTAATCACAGTGCATTTTTTGTAGTCACAGTGCAAAAATCTGTAATCACTATGAACCAATCAAATTTCATTGTTTCGAACATTAATAAGTAATAGCATGATCCCTTGTGCAAGTTGGATATAACATGCACTTGTAGTTTTTCAAAGACCTCATACTATTACCTATACAAATTGGGTAACATATTATCTGATTGAACTCATAATCAATTTTAATAATGCTATATTATTTTTTTCGTTTTATTCTTCACTATTTAACAAAAACAACCTGACAAGAAGAATGACTGCAAAGAATGAGCCATTGCAGTAGCACCAAGTATCCCCATTTAACTAGTAAGATGCCAACAAAATGACCATGCATGTAAAATGTGAAATAACAAACATAGCATTATAGCCTTTAGAAGGAGTTCAAATATTAAGACAGCTACAAATGTCGTTAACAATATTTGACAAAAATATACAGTAGTCAGTATTGTCAGATTTTGATTAGCTCAATGTCAATAGAGCAAAATCCCATTAATTTAATTCAAATAAGGGATTTTCTTGGTCATCTGGAATTGGATAGGAAACAGGTTGATTATGTCCACTACCAAAAGATATTGGCTGATTGAAATGATAAGGCATAAATCCTGGGTGATGCTGGGCAGGTTGTCGTGGTCGGTTAAAAGCATTTGCCAGTAGCACCATAGCTTGAGTCATACCTTGGGACATTTCTTTAAGTGTGGAAGACATATTTTCCATTGAATGAGCCGTAGTTGTTGACGAATCCTTGAAGCATTCAAGCATGTCTTTTCGCATGGCTGTATCTTCTTTAGCAGCTTCAATAAGTTTCTGATCTCTCTGAGCTGCTGATAACCTTTTTTCTAGACTTTTCCTCTTAATTGTTGTCAATGAGTTTTGGCACATTTGACAATACTTCCAATTCTAACTTGCTCTGTTAACTTGTGCTGTGAGTAGAAAGTTCAGAAAAACTACTTTTAATTGAATTGTTTTCATCCATATCAAATTCACTGTCTTCTGCTTCTTTCCCAACAGATATCGGAGTCAATGAGCGGATTCTTTCAATATCTGTATACAGTGGCGTGCTGGGTACTATTTTTCTGGGGGGGGGGGGG